CTACCAGATAGTCATTATGTTGACAGTTTGTAATAAACCTGTGAAGTGATGAAGTCATTCACAGTAAAGTAATTACAAACAGAAGCCAATCAGAACAAAGAACAATGCTACAAGAACTCAATGAGAGCTCAAAGTGAAAACAAGTACACTTCCTGATATGTGATAAGAAGTGAGAAACCAAGCAATTGGTTTTAGTTTTGCATCTGATTGGTCAATTGGGTGTTGCATCTGATCGGTCAATTGGGTGTTGCATCTGATTAGTAAATTGGGTGGCACTGTGGAGTTCTTGATCAATCACAGAGTAAAGCAAAAATAATATCAATCAATTGAAAGTTGCTGAAATTCAATCTGTATTCAGGTTGTTTGAGACTATTGGCTTGTTGACTCCCTTTGCCCCTAACTACAAGAAAGAGCCTAGCACACGCTAACCTTGTATGTAATTGTAATCAATCAAGGATCAATTAAATTTTTCATGACACAACTTTGTATTTTTTATCTCTTATGATTTCAGAAAGTTGCAAGAGCCATCCTTCAACCAAGCCAAATTCCAAATACTGTTGATTCAAAGGAAAAAAGCACAAAAGTCACTCACAAGCTTGATGGTGAAAAAATTGATTGTGCAAATGCACCTGTGGAAAATTCACTAGAAGAGAACTTGCGGCGTGATACATACCTTGTCACAAATAATGGAAGATATAAACCAGTTTGTAAGACGTCTCCAAATACTTGTACTCCTAAACTTACAAAGCCTGCAACAAAGCCAGTTAATGGAAAAAAGAAAAGAGTAGTGGTAGCAAAGAAGATTTCTCCTGTCTCTGGTAACTTTGGTTTATTTTTGTATTACATGTTACGTAAAGTCACCCATATTATAATTTGTTTCCTTTTTTTCATTTTTTTTATGGAGAGAGGGTGGAGAATCAAGCATATGATTTCTTTTATAAATTATGTGGATTTATCAGATCAATAAAGAAATTGAGTTGTTTAATATTATCAGCTTGCATAGGTTTTTCAATGCTTTGGTTATCTTTGAATTGACCTGGTAATGGAAGTAATCATTTGTATGTTTATTACATTTTAAACCCAATTTTTTTTACAGGTGCACTGACAAAGAAGTCAAAACATAAAGTGAAATTGAAAGTTGCAGCCAAGGGAGTTGCTCAAAGAAAACTGCAGCTGGTTAAAACCCCCAACAATAAACTTCCACGGCACCCAATGCCGTTTGCAGCAAAGAACATGTATTACGATGAGAGGTGGATTGAGAAGCAAGAGGAAGGTATAACATATGGAACACCAGTATTACTACACCTAAATGTTTACACTCCATACCCCAAACCTCCTGCAAATCAAAGCCTTTCAATGTTATACCCAGATGTTACACATAATATGATCAGTAGGTTTAGGTCATGCTTCTTTTGTTTCAATTTCCTGAAGGCTACCACTTCTACTCCACTGAGTATTCTTACAATTTAAGGAAGTAGACAAAGACTTAAAGAATTTATAACTTTGGTTGTCAATTGGGATTTTGAAGTTGCAATGTTTGGTACCCAATTTTTACAACAAATGGAAAGTGTACCTGCACAATTATTTTAAAAAAATTTGTTTGAGAAGAAATGTATGTTGCATACCATCTAAAATTAGATAATGGCTAATTTTCTCATCAATCTTCAATATGATAATATTATATGTAAAACATCCATAAGGTCATTGAAATTTCTAAAAAAAATTCCCAAGTGTTAAGCTTCTGCTTAAATCTACCATAGGAAATGTGCAGTTGGGTTTGGTATGAGAGAGTTTTAGCCTGACATTATTTTGTTGTTTTCCAGGTTTCACTAAATGGCTCAACTTTGTACTGACACCACCTGATGTAACAGACTCTACTGTACAAGCTGATGCCAGTAGAGGTAGCTTTGCAGTGTACTCAAGCTTACTGTATAGTACTGAACCAGAAAATTACAAGCCAGGAATAGGTCTTTTTGAAAGCCTTTCTGAATATGTGTTTACTTTATAAAGAGGATACTGTTTATAAATTGAATGATCTTGTGTTGGCACTCCTAGTCCATAACTTAATTTATAATGATTAACTAATTATTATTTGCTTATTGATTGATCTCTTTGACTGGTTTGGACTAATTGAATGTGTCCCAGTAGCTCTAGAGGAACACCTTAAGAAAATGGACACAATTTTTTTTTTATTTATATATTTCATTATTATTATTTTTTTAGTTCATATGGTAGGAAATATGGTCCTTGGAGGTACTCAAGAAACAAAGAAGTCTCAACCTTTGGCCCCAACTAAAGAGGCCCTCTCCTTACGTGCCTACACTGCTAAGCGTAAGATGGCCCGTTTGAGAAGGTGTGCCTGTTTGTTGTACCAATCAGAACCCTTGGGGTACATAATCAGAAAGATTGAAGCTGAAGTGGAAAATGGACGACTTGCCATCAGACCAGACAAAAAGTTACATGCAGATTTAGGTTGGTTTATACAAATTAAGTAAAAATGGTAAATCAAGAATTGCTGTATAGACACATGTAAACCAGACATACTTTATAGGTCTAACTGTCAAACTTTGACAACAGTGAGCCTATGAAATATTTATAAGTTTATTTTTGTTATGATCTGTTTCATTTATTATGAAAACATGCAAAGGAACCACAAATTCACAAACTAGTAACTGTCATTGCAACTCCCAGTATAACTTTCTCTCATCTGATTGGTTTTTGATCAACAGAATAGCCTATTAGAATATGCCATATGTATTTTAATGAACCTTTTGTGTTTGACAATAATCCATTTTCATATTTTTGTTTCCAAATAATGAATACATTTGTAAAGAAGTCTTGCTGAATTTATTAGTTTTGCAACCCTATTTCCCTTAATGCTGGAAAAATTTCTTTGGAAAAATGCAAGTTTGGGATGATTAGTGAGAGGGTTCAAATTTGTACCCTCTGAAAGCTTTTCAGTACCCACCCTTGCTCCAATTGAAGGAACTTTGAAGACATCACTTTATCTTATGCATTTTTAGGAATCAAGAAGCAAGTTGCTGACATGATCCTGTCCTACAACTCCTTATGGCTACGGATTGGACTTGAGGTATAATGATAGTGACATGACACTGTCTTGTCTCAGAAACACCCTCCAACTAATTAACTGTGCTGTGTGACTGATCTTGAAAACTGGCTTCACCTTCTTTGCCAACCTGATGCAGAGAAGTGGAACAGTCCACCACAAAGCTTGGTTTTTATGGTGTTTTCAAATTGTAGTCTGCAATCTGTTTGTCAAAATGCCTTTCAGATGTTTGATTATTGATCAGTATGCAGCAATTTTCACAGCTGAAAACATAAAAGGTGAAGATTGTGTGCTATTGAGATCTGCTAACTTTCCTCTTCCAAGACAAAGTTCTTTTTCTCTCTTCTTTAGCCTTTTCAGGATTTCAAGTGATTAAATCCTCGTTCTTTTTCTCATGTTTTCCAGACCATATTCGGTGAAATTCTCCCTATCCACTCAAATGATGACGTAAATGGGCTGAGGCGTTTTATCACAGACAGATTACTTGGTAACCCGGATGTTGCCAGTGCATTTGCACATCCACAGGTGCCAGGGTTGTATCGTGAAGGTAAATCCAAAAGGCTAAAAAAATTAAAATCAACCTTTTATTCTGTTTTAAGCTGCGCTTACAAAGGTGTTGAAAAACTTACAAGAAATAGGAATTCCACGATGTCATTTTCCAGGCCTGGAAAGTCATGAAATTTGAATGCAGGTCGAAGGAAGTTATGAAAGATAATTTAAAATTCTATTTTGAGTACAGCATCATTATTTGATCGCATTCTTATCTTCTTGGAAACTACTTTTCGGTAGAGGGTTATGGAAAATCTCTGACAGGTCCATGTAAAGGTCATGGAAAGTAATTGAATTTTATGATTTTGAAAAAAGTACGAACCCTGTTGTGCCTTCGTGACAAGCTTTAGTTCTTCATTTTCGAAACCGTCAAGTTGATAGCGGAGCTCGCAGCGCGCGCAGCGAAACTCCATAGCCAGGAACATTCGGCGACCTGAGAAACGAAAATAAATTTTCAATTTTAACAGGAGTGCGGCCGTCCGACGACTATGCGTCCACGAAATAGGCTTTTTTTAGCGCACGTGACCAGCTACATTGTGGAAACATCCACGAAGCGTTACTCTTTTCAATAGACGACGTCGGTAAGAGCCCCTTGCATTCTGTTTTTGCTACCCATACAGGTTACGTAGAGCAGCTGGGAAAGTTTACTTTGAAGAAGTTTCTCCTTTTGGTGTTGTTCTTGGATCGTGCGAAATTGACGCGGCTGATTGATCATGACCCGTGTCTCTTTAACAAGGACGCCTCATTCAAGGTTTGTGCGCGCACATATACGAAGTAGGCTGTTTATTTACCACAGGTTTCGCGATATAAACAGCTCGTGCAAAGGAAGGAAAATAAAGTTTTGTGCGATCATCAGTCATGACTTTGCATCCATTATCTCAAACTTTACCGAGTGTTATTGTACTGACTTGAATTTACAAAGAGTCCTATCAATTATTTCTGTTTGTTTTTTTGTTTTTTTTAGTCAAACCGCAGTCTTCTACTAACGTTCTCCCGCGAGTACCTTAAGGGAGAGGGTGACGTGACAAAGCACCTGAACTTCTTGGGTTATTCGGTCACTCATTCTCAGGTAACAATATCCACGTGAAAAATTATAAATCGACTTCAGATATTTTAAACCGGGCATTTGAATAAAAAGTTCATTAAGATTTCAATTTTAAAATGTCTTGCCCTCCAGAGACCGATCGACGAAGTGGATTACGCTGTGAAGAACATTGCCACAGATCTGAGAGACGGTCTGCGTCTAACGTGAGTAGTTTCGGTATTACCAAACTAGGTACCTATGCTGCAATATCAAGTTTTGAATTCTCTACAACACAAATCACCGTTTAGGTGAAAAGAAATAACCAGAGATGAACTGTTGTTTTCTTTTTCATGCTACAGGCGAGTGGTGGAGCTCTTAACCCATGATTGGCAGCTGTCAGCAAGTCTCCGTGTTCCGGCTATTTCCAGATTACAGGTGAATTAGCAATAGTTAGTAATAACAGAATTATTTTCGATTAAGTTTGGAAAGTCATACGGGATTGCTTCAGTTTTACTTTGGTTCGCTCTGTGATTAGTTCATAAAACTCGCGCTTCTTTCTCAATCAGTCAGATTAAAAACTAGAAGGAACCCATCAAAACTTAGTTAATCGAGTTTTTCCTCGAGCGGTTTGCTTATTTTTTTACTTAAACTACTTATTGATTCCTCTATAAAGTCAGGCAAAAATCTTCATTTGTAAGCGCCACATAACTCTTGGTCAGAGTTTTGAGTATTTTTCATCCTTTTCGTTTTCAGAAAATCCACAATGTAGACCTTTTTATGAACGCATTGAAACAAAGAGGCATTCTTGTCGGAGGAATTCACGGTAAAACTGTTTGTTCGTGTGTGAAATAACGCATAAAAAAGCACGATGCAGTCAGTAGCCTAGATTTCACTTTGTTTTTATCTCCATCAGATCGCTTGTTTTGCGGACAATGGAATAGTATTAAGTATTAGTATTAAGTTTTAAATTAAGGATCTGCGCGTTTGCCTCCCGCCTTCTCATCGTACTTGCGCCGCTTCAACTTCTAGCCAGCCTATTTATTCGTTTGTCTTTTTGTTGTGCACCTGACTCGCTTTCTCTATCATGGTGCAGGAGAGAGACACATTCTGCTAGAATCACAAAACTGCTTATCCTGCAGGTTAAATTTTAATGTTACTTTTTTCAGGGGGTGCTACTGATGCGCGCCATATCGTGGATGGACACCGAGAGAAAACGCTTACTTTGCTGTGGCAGATGATTTTTCACTTTCAGGTAAGCTTTAGTCGAAAAAACGTCAGGTTCTTATCTTGTGCCGTATGTTACTTCAAATGATCCCATTTTTTATATCATCGAGTGACTGCCACCGAAGTAAAATCCCCGCCCCTCACCCTAGGAACTCGTCAAGTTCCCCTGACGTTTCCTTAATGACTGTTGATACTCCTGTGTGGGGTGGGCACTGTGAGAGCAAAGGATCTTGTCCAGGAGGGTCTCGCCTAGTTCACTGCACATTTCATCGCTGACTTGCACTTTGATGTATTTTTTTTATATGAAATTATAACGAGTTTCTTCATTTGTTTTTCTTCAACTTCACCCTGTAATTTCTCTGAAAACCTTTTAACAGGTAAATGTTCTTCTGAGCGAAAAACTTCTTCAGGAGGAAATAGCCCATTTAGAGAGTACCAGGCTTCTCCGCGATCAGTTAACTGCTGCGGAGAACTGGATTGAGGGAGACGAAGCAGATTTTGTGGGAAAACGCCGAGATTCTTCAGACCTGTATTTCCAGTCAGACCGGCTGCGCTTGCTCTTTAAATGGTGTAAGATGGTTTGCAGATTGTACGGCTTGAAGGTAATAATGTAACTTACATTTTACTATGCTTTAGTTGAAAGCGTATATTGCGTATAAAGGTTTTCAGCTTTGTCGTCAAAGTTAACAAAAATCAATAAAGAATGCAAACGAGTTTCATGGTCACTATTAAGTGATCTTGTTTTTCATTCTTTTAGATTGAGAACTTCACTGTTTCATTCTCGGATGGTCGTGCTCTGTGTTTCTTACTCCATCATTATCACCCCTCGCTACTCCCCCGGTCACGTATCAAAGAACAAACTAGCTTGACCTGTAATCCGGGGGTACATGATACAAGTGACAGTGAGGCTGAGGAAGGAATGGCAGTGAACTCGTGGACTGCAATATTCAGCCCCGGTAAGTTTAAGAATTTTTTCTTGACTTCAGTTCCATATTTTAACTGCTAGACAATTCAGTTTGGCTTGCCTTTGAGAAAGTAGTAAATTTTATCTCACTGAGGTGATCATAAAGTTATCAAAAATCTCCATTCCCTTTTATTCTTTCAGGTTGCGGAACAAATACGTTTTTAGAGGAACTGAAGAGTAACGAGCGCGAAAATTTTCGTACAATGGCGGAGAAGGTGAGTACAAGTTTCCAAATTCCACAAATCTCATTTTGTAGTTTACTATCTTTTTCTAAGTGTGAAAGATGTTTTCGGTCTATAAAAATTTCATGTTCGGAAGAAAATAATTTTCGTCTGCTTCAAGTAAAAGACGATTTAAAGAACTTTCCGATTACTACCATAAGGTTTGAACTGATCATGGAATCCTCCGACCTTCTTTTTTCCGGGAAGTCAGGGATTCAAGTGTGAATCATGAAAGTGACTAGAAAAGATATTTTTGTTAACAAGAAAGGAAAATTCCTTCCATATAATAACGTCTAAAACAGTATATTGATACCAACTTTTTTATCGTAGCTCATTGAAAACATCAAGAAGGTCTTTTGAAAAATTCACGTTGTCATGGTATTTTAATATTTAAAGAAAAAAATACGAGCTCTGTAGTTTGGACACTCTACCAGCACCTAGCTATTGTTTATAGGAGACTTGTGCTCGTGAGAATATTGGATTAGCTTCATGTTACAAATGTTTGTTCGTTTGTTTACTTCAGGTACGAGAACTAGGTGGAGTTCCTTTGATGACTAAGGCCACTGACATGTCCTACACAATTCCCGATGAGAAGGTGAGGAAATGCAGTTATTCTTCTTTTTGTTAAGGCTCGGGACTTCCAAACATTCCTTTTCCAACCTAATGAACTTACTTTTTTATTTCCCAGGTTGTCATAACTTATGTCGCCTATCTGTGTGCTCGGTTGCTGGATCTTCGAGAGGAGACGAGAGCTGCACGCTGCATTCAGGTGGCCTGGAGACGATTTCGTCTTAAAAGGCGATTAGAGCTGAAAAAGGTTGGCTGGTGTTACGTGAACTTTAAAAGGTTTATCCCATATTCGTGATCGTCAGCTTTATTTGCTAGAGCCTTCCTTTGCGTGCTTTTTATTATCTATTTCTCATATCATGTTTCTGTTTGCTTTTGGTTTTTCCAGAATGTTGCGAAGATAGTTGTTTTTATACAGGTATGAAGTACTTCATTATACAACTTAAGTTGACTAGAATACATCTCTTTCGTATTGTGTTCTCTGTTTGTGATAACTTTTCGACTAAGCACAAGTTTTACTGGAGATGCTCAGCTGAGATAACATTGTCTTCTCTCACAGGCATGCGCTAGAGCCGCAATGACACGACGTAGATTTCAAGCCATGAGGCAGTCCACTGTTCTCATTCAGTCTGTGTACCGTGGTCACCTGGTTCGTCGACAACTTCGTGCTCGTCACCAGGCTGCGAACTGCATTCAGACCCGCTACCTGGCCTTCAAAAAAGGTCGAGAGGTCCTGGAATGGTACAGAAACCTTCGTAAAATTGTTGTGCGGCTGCAGCGTACTGTATTGGCCAATCAGAGGAAACGAAAGGAAAGGAGAGATCGAGCTGCGAAAATAGCACAGTCTGCTTGGAAAGGATTCATGGAAAGGAGGAAGTTTGCTGAGAAAAGAGAGGCTTGTATTCGTATTCAAGCATTTATCAGAGGAGTTATTCTGCGTGGGCGGTTTTTGCTCCTTCGAAACTCGACTGTGCTAATTCAGAGAATCTTCAGGGCATTGATGATCGAGAGAAAAGAGAGAGAACACTTTCTTCATCTGAGGAAGTGCGTGATCGTGCTACAGTCGTTATACAGAGGCAAACGCGATCGAAAACGCGTGAAGCAGATTCGCGCGGTTATCATGATTCAAAGCCACGTGCGAGCGTGGGAAACCCGCTCAAGATTCCTGTTACTGAAACATGCAGCTACCAAGATACAGGCTAACGCCAGAATGTATCAAACGCGAAAGAAGTTTGCGCTTATGAAGAGTGCGACAAGAACTTTGCAAGTTCACTTCAGAGCCACTCTCCTTGGACGAGAAGAAAAGATCAAGTACATGAATCAAAAGTCTGCTTGCATTAAGATCCAGTCATTCATCAGATGTGATCTGCAAAGGAAAGCGTTTTTAAAGAAGAGAAAAGCCGCCGTAACGATTCAGTCCATTGTCAGGATGTACCTCGCAAGGTCAAGTTACCGAAACTTGCTTTCGTCAACTGCGAAGATCCAGAGAAGACTTCGAGAATTTCTCTACACGAAGAGTATACAGCAGAAATATGTGCACATGAAGCTATCTGCATTAAAGATCCAGTCATGCTATAGAGGTTATCGGTGCAGGAAGCAGTTTACTCGGGTCAGATTGGCCACTGTTACTCTTCAATCACTCACGCGTCGTTTTCTAAGTAGAAAGAAGTTCTTGGCGTTAGCACATGCTGCTGTCGTGATTCAGACGCGCTACCGCGCTCTACAGCAGGGACGCCACCAGAGAGTAGAATATCACCGCATCCTTGATACTGTTGTTCACCTTCAGGCTCTAGTCCGAGGTAACATTGGCCGTAAACGTCTCGTGGCCCAACATAGATCAGCTACTCTGATTCAGACTGTCTACAGAGGGTACGTTTGTCGCACAAAGTATCAATCATCAAGACAAGCTGCTATAAACATACAGCGGCGTTACCGTTCATTTCTCCTTGGCCGCCATGTTCGTTCCAATTTCCAACGTCTTCAACACGCATCAGTGCAAATACAATCTTACTTCCGTGGATTCCAAGCAAGGAAACAGGTCAATCTTCTGCGAAGTGCTATGAAAATCCAAGCTGCTTATCGCGGATACCGAGCTAGAAAGTCATACAACAATTCTCGTAACCGTATCATTCATGCTCAAGCATTAACTCGTGGTTATTTAACGAGGAAATATTATTACGAGCTCAAGAAAGCCACTGTAAAGCTACAGAGTCGGTACCGTGCCCGCGTGATTGGCATGCGTCAGTATGTAAATTATCACGTACAACGCGGTGCCTGCATCTTGATACAAGCAGCTGTGCGTGGTTACCATTGTCGTAAGAGATACCTAGTAGTGAGAAACGCCGCAATAGTCATTCAACAAAAGTACAAAGCTACGGTAAAGTGTAGGAGCCAACGGGAACGTTACCTTGCTAGTAGACGTGCAGCAATTCATCTTCAGGCTTGTGTGCGTGGATGGCTTGACAGAAAATTGGCGCGAAGACTTCGTGCGGCAAGACTGATCCAAGCGACATATAAGATGTACAAGGCAAGGGAACAGTTTCTCACATTCAGAAGTGCTGTACTGAGATTACAAGCTCAAACACGCATGATAAAACAGCGGCAGAGATTTATTAGCTTGAAAAACGCAACCGTAGTCATTCAAAGGAAGTTTAGGGCGGCAGTTCTCTGCAAGCACGATCAACTTGTATTTCACTTCATCCGAGGCGCAGTCATTACGTTACAGATGGCTGTAAGAGGATACCTGGTGCGAACGAGACTTCGTAAAATGAATGATGCCGCTGTTAAAATCCAGGCTTGTTTTCGCGGGTTTCGGACGTGGAGACGATATGAAGCTACCAAGAGAGCTGTGTTGATTTTACAGCTTCGTTACCGCGCCTGGCTTCTCGGTCGAGCAGTAGCTCGGAATTTCAATGCGTTAAAGTCATCTTCTCTCATAATCCAATCAAGTTATCGCCGCTACAAGGTGCGACTTAATTTGAAACGTAAGCAGGCAGCGGTCAAGATCCAAAGCGCCTATCGCTGTCATGTGTGTGCCTCCAAATATCTCCTCCAGAAGTCTTCTGCGGTTGTTATCCAAGCAGAAGTAAGACGCTACATAGCACGGCGATCCTATCAGAACCTTCGTCGTGCTGCATCTGTGATTCAGCGCCGATTCCGAGCTCAGAGGGAGATGCAGGTGGTCAGACGGTGTTTCACTCTCCAGCGGAAGGCATGCGTTGTGTTGCAGACTGAGATTAGAGCATGGCATTGCAGACGACACTATAGTGCGATTAAATCAGCAGCCATCACTATCCAGCAACACTTCCGAGCTTGCGTTAAGTCTCATACACAAAGAGAAGGTTTCTTGCAATTGCGGAGTGCCACTGTTGTGTTTCAGTCTTATTGGAGAATGTCGTCGGCTAGAAGAAAATACAAGAGAGCTCAGGATGCTGCCATTAAGATACAAGCCTTTGCGCGCATGACAAAAGAAGTTCGGGCTTATCAAAAGGTCAAGAATGCGACCATGGCATTGCAGAAGATTTACAGAGCTAATCACCTTTGCAAAAGGCAGCGTAAAAGTTACGAAATGATGCGTCGAGGTGCTATCATATTACAATCGCATCTGCGTGGTTTCATAGCGAGACAGCGTGTTGCTGAAATGCTGATGGAGAAACAGAGACTGGGAGCAGCTGCCCTGAAGATTCAGCGTTACTACCGTGGATATGGCTTGATGAAGGAAACTCACTTTACATATCACGTGACCCGTGGTGCAATCATCACTTTGCAGTCTGCTTTCCGCATGGTTCGTGCGCAGAAGTTTGCACGCAGGCTTAGAGCTGTTATTAAGATACAAGCGGCATATCGTACAGCAGTCACACGTAGAAATTTCCTGGCCGTGCGAGAATCTGTCTGCAGAATACAGGCAACGGTTCGTCGCAATCAAACCCGACAGCAATTTGTAGCGACAAGGGAAGCAATCGTTGCAATTCAACAATGGTACAGAGCACAAGTGGCAATGAGGGAGATCTATGCAGAGTATCAGTGCCTCAGACGCGCCACAGTCCTCATTCAGTCGTATTACAAAGGTTATTGTCAGCGGAAGTCTTATCTTTGTGACAGACAAAAGGTAGTGCTGGTTCAGTCTTCCGTGCGCATGCATCTACAACGGACGAAGTTCCTTCAAAAGCGCTCGGCAGTCATCGTCATTCAATGTCGGTATCGATCGTTCATCATCGGCCAAGATGTCCGTCAGAGATTCCGTCAGTTGAAATGGGCAGCTACTAGAATCCAGGTAGTTGAAACAGTCCATTTTTCACGGATGTTTTTATTGTACTTTGATCAATGTCAGTACCTAAGGAACTGCACACCTACCCCTCCCGCAACCCAACATTAACCCTAACTTGTTTTCAGTTGACTGTTGTTGAGTCAGGGGAGGGGTAGGTGCGCACTTTCTCAGATACTAACATTGTTCTTAGGCCCTTTTATGAAGCATGCTCTATCTTTCGGATTACAAGAACTTGTTTTAATGTTCTATATGTATACGGTCAGTCAATGTAAGATTACAAAAGTCCATTTTACGTTTTCAAGAAAGATCACATGTAAGTCATAAGTGGTGCTTTCTTTCCTTTCATTTATACGCAGAGCTTTTACCGAGGTTGCCAAGCGAGAGATGAAGTGAAGAAACTGAGATCAGCCATACTTATTCAGTCTCATGCACGTGGAATGATTCAGAGGCAGAAATACTACCATGCCAAACAAATCCTGATCAGAATGCAAGCCTCAGTAAAGGCCTGGCACTATCGGAAGAGTTACTTAGAACTCAAAGCCGCAACAGTTTTCCTGCAAAGAAAAGTGCGAGCTAATATTGCCTCAAGAAGGGCGAGCGCAGAATTTCAAGAGGTCAAACGCGCAGTAGTTACGCTTCAATCTTTTTACCGTGGCTGGAAGGCTCGCTTCTTTGTCCGTCAACTGAAGGCTGTGATTCAGATTCAGAGATGGTTCCGAGGTACAATGGCTGGAAGAACAGCTCGTGAAGATTATCGAAGACTCAAGGATGCTACTGTCATACTGCAAGCCGCTTTCCGTGGATACCGCGGGCGGATGGTCGCTCGTAAAATGTTCGCTGCTCGTGTTATTCAGGCAGCTTTCAGAGGATTTATAACAAGAAGGAAGATAAAAGTATGAGTTTTCTTTTAGATATGTTTTCATGTGTTTTATAACTGAGATAATGAAGAAGTTTACCTTTCGATTATCAGTGAACTTCGATTGCTTGACTGACAAACAACTCCTGAATTGACACAATATCTTTTAAGACTACACTCACACGTATACGAGCAACTGTTACACCAGGATTCAAATCATTTACTGCATTTCGCATAACTCAATCAAAGTCTACGAACGTTAAACTGAGTTTGAGTTGTCAATAATTGCTAATTTGTTTTTCAATACTTCTCTTTTCCAGCGTCAGAAGGCGCAGCGTTTGGTACAGTTGAAAACGTTTGCAGCAGCTGCATATCATCATCTGAAAGCCATCAGAATCCAGCGTTGTTATCGGCGGGCACGGGCAATAGTGGTGGCAAAAGCGCGGATGGACGCAGTTCTTCTAATCCAGGTATGATAATTCGAGGACATATCTTGCTTGGCGCAAAATTACAAAATTTGTTTCTGGACTTGTCTTGCTATCTGCCTTAGCTTGTTGTTAAGGCGATCCATATCTGTTCTTTATAAAAGAGAGAGAGGTTCAAGTTCTCTAGTTACTCTTGAAGTCAGTAATCATCCAGGCTGCAATTTTATAGGGCTTTTCTACCTAAACAGGAACTAAGTAAAGAAAGTTGCTATCTTTTCTTCCCTCAGTATTGGTGGCGCGGTGTGCTTCAACATCGGAGGTTTACCACTCTTCGCTCAGCCGCTGTTTTTGTACAGAGAGCAGCACGGAAGAAACTGGTGACGAAAAACAAAAACGCAGCGAAGATCCAGTCCCTTATCCGTGGAGTTCTGGCAAGGAATCATTTGCGAAAACGTCGGGCATGCGCACTGAGAATACAAGTGAGAAAAATACTACTTGTGTTTACATAATTTGCTTAGTCTTCACTCTTTGTTGAGCAATAACTCCTCGAGATGTTAGTGTCGCTGATTTCTTATGCTTTTTTTCTTCTTTTTTTTCCTCAAGGCTTTGTGGCGAGGTTACCGAGTTCGACGTGGAGTGTCATCCGTTAAGGTTAAAAAAGCGCGTAAGCGGATCAAGTCCGCAAATGCTGCAGCAACCGAATCAATGAAGCTTTGTAACCGCACCAGGTCCGCCCTTGACTTCCTATTGCAGTGTAAGAACATCAGCAAGATAGTGGGAGCGCTTGTTAACCTGGGTGAGTTCCTTGAGAAAAAAATAATTACTATTTTAAAGCCCAATCACAGCAAGACAAAAACATGACAAGAGGCTAAGTGATATCAAAACAAGATATCAGAAAAAGGTGTGAACTTCAAGTGTGTAAGCTCGAAAAAAGATTCAATCGATTTTTGTTTTGCATCTGATTGAGAGTAACGTGACTTTTCATGACCAACTGTTCGACGAATTAGCGCTGACCCGAAGGACGAGAGCTGCATGCAGCATCCACTCTGAACGGAAGGCTGAAACTTTATGAGAATTGTGCCATTAATCGTTGGTATTGTTTGTATCTCAGAGGTTGTAACTCGTCTGTCGGAGGTTTGCTGTCAGCAGGTCGTGAGAGATGGTGCACTGCCTGTTATATTCAAAGTAATCAAGAAGTGCAACCGCAGTTTACCGCACTTAGAAGTCATTAAATATTCCATATCAATACTCTTCAATGTCGCACAGGTAAGAAAAATGTCCCCCTTATCGTAGTTACCTACATAACTTTGCGTCAGATTCATCCCTTCGGAGCATACTAGAACATGACAGATATAGTTGAAATTCACGAATATAATTATTAGCTATCTTCTGTTCCACAGTACCCGTCAGTTTATACTACTGTTTATGAGCAACCAGATTCTATCGAAACCTTGGTTGAACTGTTGGCAAACTTCCGAGACAAAAGTTTCCTCTTCGCCAAAACTTGCTGCCTTCTTTTCGTTTTATGCCGGGACTCCTCAATCGCTCAAGACATTCTCAACATGACAAAGATTGTAGAAGATATCAAGAGTGTCCACAAGATAGCGGAACGAAACCACCGACTGGAAGCTAAGCGAAACAAGGTCAACGAGAGGAGCACCTGCCAGTTAGCCCCACCCACGCCTTATAAGGGAAAGAAATTCAACTCAGTGAAATGGCAGCAACGGCTGAATATGGTCCAAGATCCTTTGGAGGCAGTAAGACTACTCGTGAAAAAACTGGGCCTGGCTCCGTTGGATGAATGAAGAATTATTTTGCCTTTTACCCACCTGATTTTTAATTCGTTATTTTATATACCCTTTCCATTGTATTTTATCTGTATACACAGCGACAGTTCAGTTTTATCGCAATTCAAACTGCGAGCATTTACGTCATATTCGCATATTATGTGCGGTGATGTTTGAGATGGGCCTTCGACGGCGGGAACGTTCGCAACATTTTTACAAGCTTTAGTTTTCAACTCCTGTCTTATATTCGCTGTTTTAAACAATCTCTCCAACTGGGGTACATTTTTAAACTTCTGCACGTATTCACCAAAGCCGCAACAGATACTTGCATTCAAAAATGTTGTAGCTTGCAAAATATTTATAGCTATGGAGTAATGTTAACATTTTAGTTGTTAGTACACAGAAAACGGGACGGAGAATCATGATGGGACACTTCACGCTCTACTACATGAAATGAGTCAGTTTTATTTCTACTCGCTAACGTCATTCAGTTGTACTGGATCATCTTATTTGTAAATACATTTACAATGAAGGGAGTAAAACAACCATCCGCATTCGCAAGGGAAACTGTTTGTGTTTGTTTTCTTCGCGCCTTAATCAGCGTATTTATCCTTTAAGGCAAGACAAATTGTTGATGTTCAAAGACTTTAGCGAACCTTATCCACTATCTTTAAAACTTGTTCAAACTGTATCCCATAACTTTTTCCAAGGAAGCGAGACGCTTCCGTGACACACATATCGTTGTCTGATGACGTTCAAATTTGGACTTTTGTCGTGCTACTTATCGGAGTGTGCAATCGACAATAGAGATGTCACACACTCTCGCTTCAGTAAGTGGCAGATTTTTGAAAAAAAAGAATTTGTCTTAGGTGCTCAGGTTACGATTTCATAGTTTTCTTCCTGTCTTTCGTTGTTTTAGGGTTTTTGTATCCTCGTCCTTTGGCAAATTTCCAGTTACGCTTCCCTTCACTCTTTTGGTCGGTTTACTCTTGCTTGTTTCCTGTTGGCAAAAAAAAACTACCATTATTGGTGTGAAATTGAACGATGAATATAGAGCCAATCAGCATAAAAAAAGTGCTTCGTTCCACTTGTAACACAAACAGGAACTAGGAGACGTTTAACTGAAAACTGGTGAGATGACGGAATTGCACTTCAAGTTAGTCAGATTCGACATCTTTCATGGGGCAAGAGCCTTCTTGCGTTGAATAACAAAATATCAGCGCAGGAGGCAAAGAGAAACATTGATAAACACCTTTACTGATATTGTAACTTAGTTCAATCTCATTCAGTGTTGGCTCACAGAGAAAGTTACTTTACCTTAAGCGTTCTTTTCAATCCACTTTGATTTTTTTTCTCATATGTATCATCCTCATCTGAACATAAAATCAATTGTTAGAAGAAAGGCACGGTATTCTAAAAAGTGACTTCAATTAATTAAGAAAACACAAATAAACAGACCACTGCCCGTTCTTGACTTGGAAACATTACAAAGTTACGTGCTGTCGATCTCGGCAAAGTACATATCGCAAGTTAAAAGCAATCAGGAAGAAAATTCTCAAAATTTTGTTCGTTTATTTATTTTTTGTCGCCCGACGGACTCTCCTCAGAGAAGGGGTAGTCCAAAGTTACGGTTATACACTGCAAAGCACAATCGTCAAATCACACTCGGACAACTCAGATAAATTAAGAATTAACAGACCACTACTCGTTGGAAATTATTCGTAGGCCACGTACTGAGCTCTCAATTTGAGGGAGGAAAGACAAGAGTACAAACTAAATCTTGTAAATGTTTTGTTGTCATGATACGCCACCTTCTGAAGAGAATTCTCCACCAGAGTCACCCTCGTCCATCTTTTCCTCTCCATCTTCTTCGTCAGGTTCTGATTCTGATTCAAGGTCAGACGGAACCCACATGTCTTCGTCTGCATCCTCAGATTCAAGGTTCTTGTCTTTTATAACTGACACGAGAGGATCAATCAATTTAATCTGAATTTCTGATGAGAATCACTAATGATACAAAAGCATAAGAAAACCTTACGTTTTTCCAACGCACGTTTGAAGCGTTTTCCAGTGACGTGTATTTGAATATGATGTGGAGCATTGTTTATATATTTCTTGGTCAACTGGCAATGTAACTGATTGCTGCAAGATTTGTAATGTTAAAAAACACACAATTAAGTAACCATACACAATATATGGTTTTGACAAGATTTCAACAATTATAATATATCACATTCTAACAAGTACCCAAAACGCTTCCTCCTCTAGGAGACCAATGCAAGACATGAATAGTTTACAAGCAAATTGAATGATGGGGATCCATTGTCAGATCTCAGTTGTTTTTCCTGTATATAACTGTTGTTTTCTTGTACATCCGCAAACACTAAAGAAAAAGCTCTGAGCTCATGGGGCATGTAGTGGCTTTAATGACATAGACCATTGACAGTTTATTTTTTTAATGAAATATTGACAATCAGGAAGAATGGGAACATGAATGTTGAATAGGACTTAAAGGGGACAGTGGCTCATGTATCCCCCTTTCTCCAAATTCAAATCGTTTTTAATTCTGTTTTTCTGCCACAAGTATATGAATTAGTGTATAGAGTAAGGTTACACTTCAACTACACTTAAACCTTCTTGAGTTTTGAATCTACATCTGAACACAATAATAATAACAACAAGTGTGAAGTGACAAGGTACTTGTGCTCTTTCTTGTCACACTTTTACAATCCAAAGTTCTGCAGGAAGGTATGTGCTTTCCTTTCATCAACATACACCCTTACCAGAAGCATAGGTTTGCTCTTATCATAGCATAACAAATATGATATCATTACCCCTTTTTTCCACTTGGCACTAAGTATTCCTTGTATTCTTCATACCCAGGGGATTCATCAGGAATTGCCTCACTTAGTCTCTGATACTTCTTCCCTTTAATATAGTTTTCAAGGTCTGTCAGTCTTGCTGGTAACTCATGTCCAGTTAATTTACATCTGATCTAACATCACAAGGAAAGAATTTAATAAGTGAAACTACACATTAAGATGGACTGCACTGGTTGCATGAAGAAATTTCAAAAATGCCAACCTTAGGAAGTCTGAAAAGTAGAGAAGTGTGATTTTAGTTTATACCTTACAGCTTCCCTTCTACCCCTGACCCACCTCAAATATAGACTAGCATCTAATTTCTCCTTACAATGTCACCTCTGAAACACATACAAAGGTCATGAGAATAGAGGAAATGATCACCAACTAAAGAACTACTTGATTGTTAAAAAACTCTCCTTGTCAGCAAATCTATAGAAACCAGGTACAGTATGGAGAATATGCATACTGATGTTAGGGTATAAAGGGTTTAGTCTGTTATATGACCACTTTGTCCTGGCTTCTTTCTCTCAGAATCATGAACATTTCGCAAATATAAAGCCATCCTTACAAAGAAAACAAAATCATTAAAATGTCCAAATTTATTTTTTTCTTGGAGATTTAGGAAACTTAAAGGAGAGCTGGAGAGATTCACATTATTTGTAGAGACTCTCTGATAGACAGAGAAAGTTGGCTGACAACAAATCCTTCCGATAGCACCCAGGCTGCGAAGTTACCAAAAGATAAGATGTGAAAACATAATGTGGGGCTTGTACTCAAGGGGGATGCTTGACTAAGGGGGCTGAGGGGAGGGAACTTTCAATAATTTCACTTTACATTCTCTGCAGTGTTAGTTTCAGTACTGAGAGGCTGATGCATTTATTTGAAAAGGACACCTGTGATGAATTTATGCTCACTGAGAGCCCCCTTATTCAAAAGGGGCATCTATTTTAGGAGAAGCAGCTATTAGGCAACTGACTGAATATGAAATTTCCTTGTTTATGTTTTATTCTATTATTCTACCTCATAACAAATGTGGCTGCAAGTCACAAGTGGATAATCATTGTTCTATTTACATTGAGAACCAGTGTTAAAACCCAAAGCAGGTAAAATAAGCCCCAATTTTTTTTTGAAGAGTTCCACAAGTCCTACCTAAGGTCCCTGTAATCACCTGTACTCACAGACAAACTTCACTTGTATGGTTTCTAACTTAATCAAAACTATAACAAAATTCTAGGATGTGATTGGTTGATCACCAGCTTGATTTGAGCACCTAGAGGAAAGTGTACACGTCATGCTTGTAATTGGACAGTGTAATAGGACAGTTGACATGTCACGCCTGTGTAATGGACAGCATGTGTCATTTGCGTGTGCTGTTGTTGTGCATTTCCCTAAGTTAACTGTTGTTTTTTTCCTTTTATGAAAAAGTATAAGTGATGTCTAGTTTCAAATCTCAAATTTTGTCAGAGTTATTATTACCTGGTAACAGCACTTTGCAACATCCAATTCTGTCTGAACTCATACTTATAATTGACAAATCTGACTCCTGCCTCAAAGTCGTCCGATTTTGTTCATCAATCGCATGATTAAAGATCGAATTGGACTCCACTCGGTCCTATTAGCATCATTAATCAAAACTATAACAAAATTCTTGGACGTGATTGGTTAATCACCAGCTTGATTTGAGCACTTATAGGACAGTGTTCCCGTCATGCTTGTAATTGGACAGTGTAATAGGACAGTTGACGCGTCATACTCGTGTGAGTGGGCAGCATGCGTCATTTGTGCGCGCTGTTGTCGTGCATTTCCCTGAGTTACTCTTGTTTTTTCTTTTCATGAAAAAGTATACGCGATGTCTAGCTTCTTTCTAAAATTTTGACAGATTTTTTATGAACTGGTTACAGGACTTCGAGTCGTCCAATTCTGTCTGAAATTATACTCGTGATTAACAAATCTGACCCTGATTTGTTGTCTCCTTCTACCCTTACGAAGCGTGTCGGTGTAAATTATCACATTTTCTGCAGTCCTTCAGAATTGAAGAGAAAACGTCAAAAGAGTGACTTCATTATTAATTAAATCATTTGAATACCTTCTCCCTCATCTGGTCATCTCTGAAAAGTTCAAAATGAGGATGATTTGCCAAGAACTTCCTCATGTCCTTTCCGTCCGCCATCTTGGATTATACCTCGACCTGGCATCGAGGGTACAGTCGTCCGAATATATTTATCAGGGTAGAGGTGGAGAGGATTATCATGTTATCGCTGCAACCTTTGACTGTATTCGTGAAACTTCAAACTTGTCATAAGCACATTAAATTTCGTGTGATGTTTCGTCTTGCTCCACCCTCATTCGGCTCTGAGATGCCTCTTATATATACCTCTTACATAATTTCACAGGTAAGATCTACAAACACTAATGTCCTCACCTACTCCTCCCAAACAAAATATCTGGCTCGGTAACCTTGATCACCGCAGCGAACAAACAATATGGCAGACCCATAACAATTTTAATTTTTTGCTTATTAGCCGCTTTTATTTTCGAGTTTTGAAATACCGTTAAATTTGGAAAATTACACGATGCATATAAAGCCGCATCATCATGGCTGAAGGAGGAAATTATTCATTTTTCAATCATAATCTACGCACAACCGCAATGAAGCAATCGTTTGACCGACCAAAGCTTCTTCACCAGCGACAATCTCAATCAGCTGGAAATAGATCAGATTCATCATCATCCCACAATGATAAGGTGCTATTGGTCAAAGAAGTAAGTGATCAAAACGTGAAATTTGCCCCACATCCTCCTACTTCTCCGCGTTCTAATTCGCGACCTTCCGGCGAAGGGAGTCCTCGTTTGGCGGCGTTGAATTCAAAAGGAATCAAAAGAACTCACAATGAATCGCCCAGAAACTCTGCTTCTGGATCAGAAGACGAAAGGAGAAGTCATAAACATGTTCCGAATGTTGCGCTAGATCCGTTACCTTTGAAACGTAGAGGAAGCACGGGAAGTTTGGATAGCATTGGTTCCAATGAATCTTTTGGGAGCCCTCGCGATAAGAATAATCGAAGTATCAATCGCAATCTTAGGGGTATACAACCTCTGAAAGATATCGGGTCAGAAAAGGATCTCGTTTATAGTTTTAAATCTAATCAGAATAGCGTCAAAAACGATGATTTTGTGAAGAAAGTTTTGAAAAAGAATGTTGTCCATCCTTTGAGGGTTGAGCCACAGCAAGTTAAATCAACAGATGACATCTCAACACAGACAGAATCAACATATATTCATCCAAAATCTGAACGATCAATTGAGGTGAAAAATGAGACCCCTGCAGATGATGAAACTACACTGTCCTCCTCAAATGATAGCCTAACCAGTGTAAGCGATGATGAAGAAAATTCATTGAGCGTTAGTGATGCTGAAGGAAAATCAGAGGGCAAGGGAAACCACAGGGACCCCAATTCTACTCTCCCTACCCTTCCTGACCAATCGAATGCTAAAACACAAGGAGTTAACCCAGCTGGTTTGTGCGAGGATGTGACTATCAAGGCAAGCAATCATTATGAAAATGATCCAACCAAGCAAGGCCATGACAGAACTCCTAAAGCAAATGCATCAGGATTATATGAGAGCATACATCCTGATGAAACAAATAAGGACAATATTCAATGTAACTCTGCTTCTGATCTGCAACAACTGAGTAAGGCATTAGAACAGGTAGCTAGTAACGAAAGGTGTTCATCAGAAACAGATTTGTCATATTGGTCAACTAGAGAATTCTCAAGCACAACAAGATCAATGGTACTTCCCCATGTCTCGGCAAGAAGCGCACGGACAAGAAGTGGCAACTTTTTAAAGGAGGAAATGGAACGTTATTTGCCTGATAGAAAAATTGGAATATTTGTTGCTACCTGGAATATGCATGAGGAAAAGGTAAGCTTATGCTTTAACCTCTGGAATGGATACCGGCAATGAATGGACTTTTTATCCAGATGTTTGAAGAAAATAGATATTTTATGTTAAAAAAAAAAGGTTGTCATTCATTTCCCTATCAAATGCAAAACTACTGGGCTTCAAAGAAAGTGTAAAGGACATTGCTCTATTTTAGTTTAACCTTTCAACCCCTAAGAGTGACTCGCATCTAATTTCTCCCTACAATACCACCCCTGAGTCACACATTAAGGTCATGAGAATAAAGGAAATGATAACCAACTAAAGAAACTCTAGATTGTTAGCTCAGTTGGTAGAGTGCTGTGCCGGTATCGCAGAGGTCATGGGTTCAAATCCTGTACAGGCCTGAATTTTTTTTCAGGCCTTATTTTCACTACTGCCTAAGTAGTGCACATTACTGCAAGGATCACTTTCATTCATGAAGCTCTAGATTGTTAAACAAGTTATCCTTGTCAGCAAGTTAAAAAATGTGTAGAGAACAGTATGGAGAATATGCATACTGGTGTTAGGGTGTAAAGGGTAAATACACAGCATTTGACGACTGGTCATAAATGCAAATCTGATTTTGTTGTGATTTTGAATTGTCTAGTTTCCAATCCCTTTGGGATTTTATGTCCCTTTGATGTAGATTGCATGAATAATAACTTCAATGACATATATCATCTTTGATCTTTTGATTTCATTTTTCCTCAAACAGGAAGTTCCATTTTACTTAGATGACTTCCTAATACCAGACTCAACTGACTTTTTACAAGATCTTTATGTCATAGGCTTGCAAGAAAGTACATCTCAGCGGTAATGCTTACACTCTGTGTCATGAGTTTCCATAGACTAAATTGATATTTATTCATTGTTGTGATGATTGAGGATAGATTGACTTCACTTTTTTCTTTTAAAACATTATCTTTGCAGTAAAGAATGGGAGATCCGTCTTCAAGAAACCCTTGGGCCATCACATGTGTTGATGCACTCCTGTTCATTTGGATTGCTGCATTTGGCAATTTTCATCAGAAGAGAACTTGTCTGGTTTTGTTCTGGTTTGTACAAACTATGCAGTGCACTTATTTTGTTACAGTAGTTAGCAAGCTGTTTGGTTTCCTCACTTCATAAGATATTAAATATTGATGTTTAACTGTGTTTGGGGCATAATTAACCTAAGACAATAGCACAACTGTTATTAGGAATTGCACACTGCATGGTAAATATCAATAGATGTTGTTCATTTTGAAAATTTAATCCTTGTTGTTAAATTTCATCATTTTAGCTCTGTGTTATTTTCACCATTCTTAAATTTTGGTTTCCTTTCGGTTGGCTTTTGCTGTTTAGTTTTCAACTTCCCTGGTGCACAGTCAATAAATTCACAGTGTCAATCAAGCCATGGGAATCTTGTTAGAACAAAGGCAACCTTAAGATCAGTTTTCAGGTACATTTTTCAAAATACTAAAAATAAACTTTCCTTATTTTTTAGCTGTGAGTGAAGATAGTGTGTCTACTCGAGTGGGACACATGATAAAAACTAAGGTAAAAATACATATCATTTAACCTTTTTTTTCCTGTTTTTTTTTTCTTTGACACCAAGATACTTATTAGTTTTAAAACTAAAATGGTGCTTGAATCTTATTTTTTCATATGCAGTGTCTTTATAGATTAATTGTAATGAATGATTTATTTGTAATGTTTATATTTTGGATAACATGTATTTTTTTCTTCTAAGGGAGCACTGGCAGTTTCATTCAGCATTTTTGGAACATCATTCCTTTTTATTGACTCCCACTTTACCTGTAAGTTTTTACTTACTGCATTAGGTTTGCTTCTTATTGTTGTTTGGAAAAATCAAGTTTCTTTTCTACTCAGTGTTCATGGTGAATGTAATTTTCCATAATAATGTTGTTTCAGTTGTCACCGAGCATGAAAAAAATCAACTAGATGGTTTTGGTTTTTCTTCAACCATGTGCTTGACTTTGAAATTTAGTCTCCCGAATGTGGTGTTTTTTCATGGGGAAGGGGAGAGGGGTCTGTAGGACTCCAAGAGTTATACCCTGGCTTGTACATGATCATGCTACACAATGCCCCAAATGAGTTAACAATTCTTGTTCAGGTGAGAAATAGCTGAACCCTAAGACTTCAGACTAACTTTTAGACCTCATATCTTGCAGCGGATGAGGGTAAAGCTTTGGACCGTGTGATTGACTACAAGACAATTTGCAAGTCTTTGTCACTGTCGCCTGAGAATCAGCCCGAGAGAACCAATGGTCAGAATTCATTGCAATTATTCATTTCTCTGACCACTTCACATTTATCTTGATGTTTGAGATTAAAATTTGGCACTTTGTCTTTCTTGTGACATTCTGTTTTAATTTAGATGAATGAATGAAAAGCTTTAACTTCCAGGGTGATCTACTTTTATTTTTTTGTGTTGTAGAGCTGGACTTAACAGCCAACTTTGATCGAGTATTTTGGTTGGGAGACTTTAACTTCAGGGTGACTCTTGGCAGATCAGAAGTGGATGGGATGCTTGAAAAATATAAAGATCAGGAAAACCCTGAGTGTAAAGTTAGTATGCAGTGGTCATAACATGGATTAAAGTTTTTTTCCTTATTTTTTTTGCTTGGTGGTGAAGAGAAAAACCTGGTGCTGTGCCTTGTCTACCACTTTATTTTCTGTGATCTATTAACCCTTTAACTCCCAAAAGTGATTAACAAGTAACTTCTCCCTACAATATTCATACACTATCCAGCAAACAGATAATGAGGATACTCAAATGTATCAGGTAGAAGTTGTTATCTTGATCTAATACCAAATTCTTGTAACTTATTAACAAGGAAATGTGTAGCAGCTAGACGGAAGAATTGACAATCTGATCTTGGGAGCTATATATGCACAGCATTATGGAATCTATTTGTTAGCAGATAGAAATCTTGAGCTCATAATTTAATTGTCGATGATGTGTTGAAATGGTGAGGAGAAGTTATGTGTCCATCAGAAAAATCACTGATAGTTTTTATTATCCTATTTATCTTGCAGGATTTGTTAGCAAAGGATCAGCTACTCGACCTTATGGAGCAAGGTGATATAGAATGTCATTAAATTTCCTTTATTTTTGTTTAGCTTTTTCTTCATCTGTGATGGATCAAAAAAATATCGAGTCATCTTCTCAACCAATCAGAAACTACTGAGTTTAGACTGAGTTCTTGTCACCTTCATGTGTTTTTTTTCCCTATTCCACATTGGTTGTTTTTTCTACTTTTGTGTTGTGTTTATGACACTCATCACTAAGTGCCTTTTTTATCATTTTATACTCAGCCACAAATAATTTAGATCTTCTTTTCGTGCTTTAAAAAAACAAACATCACCCATAATATCAACACACTTTCTTTTTTGTAACAGGAAAAGTGTTTGTTGGGTTCACGGAACCGCCCATCAAATTTTTACCAAGTTACAAGCATGACATACAAAGTGACAACTATGACTCCTCATCGAAAAACAGGACACCATCTTGGACGGTGAGATAAGTTCTCTCCTTCGATTCACCTAAAACTAAGAGAGACACTTAAACTCTTCTCATATTTTCTTTTTGCACACCTCTACCCATTGGGTGCACCTCAAGTTGTTTTTTCAAGGCCTTGCGTATGCCTCAAACTCGCCCTCTGGAGCACGAAAGCCAAAAGAGACGCAGAGCAATTTTCAGTGGAGAGTCTGAAGTAATCCTGGGTCGCTCTGCTTTTGCTCTTCTTTGCCACGCGATTGTTCCAGAAATTTGCATCATCGTCTCAACTAAGCGGATGCAAAAATATTAAACCCAATCGCGATTTAGTCCCTCGCGTTTTCCCGCGTTTCAAACAGTTTGCCTCTTTTCACTCTAAGTTCTCATTAGTTAATGTCGACCCTCGTTCTGATTGGTCGTTGTGATTATTCCGGTTTTACGACACTCAATTGAACAAAACACCAATGTGCATGGGTTTGTTTTCATCATTAAAATGTAGTCAGACATTGGGCCCTTTCCGCAACCGTTCTTTTTGGATGTGGGGATCGTTGCATGGTATCCCAAGGAACGAATGGGGAGTACACTAGTTATGCGTATATTTATACCCTACTTTCTGCAGACTTGAGCTACTACTTGCGTTGTATTGAAGCACAAATGAAGGAGCGTGTAATGATTCGTTTGTTCTATCTTGTCTATCAGGATCGTGTTCTTTACCGCAGCAAAGATCCATCAAGTATCCAACCTGTGCTGTACAGCAGCTGTGTCTCTGTCAAAACTTCAGATCACAGGTGAAGATCAGCGACTACAACACAGTTTTTTTTAGTATCATCAACTGAGTTGATAACGTAAATTGGCCACCGTAAAGAGTTTAAATGCTAACGTTTCATCACTCTGACGAGGGGCTAACGCTCGAAACGTCAGCTTTTAAACTTTTTACGGTGGCCAATTTACGTTATCAACTTAGTTGATAATACTAAATTATCCTGTTATACTCTCTCACCGACGCAGCACCAAAGTTTCTTTAGGAACTTACCCCCTTTATACAACGTAGTTTTGTTTTGTAATTATGTGTTGATACTTTCCAGATGAATCATTGGTTGGCCTGTGCTAATAATTGTTCTTGTTCTTCTTCCAGACCCGTGTTTGGCATTTATCAAGTGGAACTCGACCCTTGCCGGGAAAAGTAAGTCACCGACTCTGCTTTACACTGTAGTGGGGATGAGTGAAGGCTAGAATGCGTCGTGTGTCGCAGGATCTAAGAGTGTAGTTTTCAGAGTTATTGTCTGCGATATAGGCCGAATTGCTTGTGTAACAGCTGTTTTATTATTTTCACTCGACAGTATTCCTTTGACTGGTGGCCAGTTTATGCGAGATGTTTATATTGAAGGTACAACAATTTGTTGCTTAAGCCTGACATCGCTCTATAATAATTTAAATAGGATCGAAGTCTTAGTCCTTTGTGTCTCAGTTTTGCTTTTTTTCCTACTTAATCTCTAAACTTCTATTCGTTCATTTTTTGAAACAGCCAATCGTAGACGGTCGGTTGGGCCCAAGTCCCAAGGACAAAGTTCTGTATGTGTCATCCTTTAACTGTCAAGAATCCAATTCAAAAGGCCAGGGGATCACGCATGTAAAAAATGCACACAAATATATTTTATTGCGTTGTGAATCTTGTAAAAATTATATTATAAAGAAGATTCGCTCAATCCATAGTTGTTACTTATTTATTTTATTTATACATGTCGGTAGGAGTACATGTCAACTTTTTTCATCAGGTTGTAAACCGAATGTTCATATTTTTAAGTCTCAGCGTCTTCCTTCTCTCGAGTTGTTCGAATGATAATAAAATAAGCACAAACGAAGTACAATGTATCATGTAATTTTTTGCCACAACGACAGAAATGCGAATCTGAGCCTTAACAGAGAAATTGTTACCGTGTCGATTACGAACACTCGCGAACAGTAACACTCAAGAAATGTCTGTGATTTGCGAAAGACTTCCGAGGCGAATATTTCCTCGACACTTCGTTGTTTTAGAAAATTTCCCTCTCAAAATATCTCAAAGTTTTTGATTAAAATTTGAAGTATTAAGGCTTTCTTCGAGCAGGAGAGCTGTGGTGATCACGGTCTCCATCTAGCCTTGTTTGGCCTTGTCTCCCTCGCCAGAATTTTTCGTTGCAGCTTTTTTTTTATCTTGTACGCTGAAAGTATACACTCGACTAGACAAGCAGGCCAGTTGATTTCGCGATTTCTATTCTCAGTTATTGGCATATTGTGGTGAAAATGACATTCTTCCATGGGCTCTCAAATGCATCATGCGTTGGTGCGCGCTGCAGCTTTTCTGTATCGTACTGTGCTTAAGAAAACGAATGACATACTGTAATTAGTATAGGGCGTGAGTATTTTGCAAGGAATATCCGAATGTACACTGATTACGTTTCAAAAAGTGCCTTGAAAAAGTAGTTCTAAACATTAAACGCCTTAGCTTGCCCTTTTGGACATTTGATATAGCAGCAGTTCTTTGCATGTCTCCGGAAACATCATATTTCTAATCGGGTTGCAATCAAAATTGAGATATATACAAGACAGCCCATTCAGATATAGCTCAAAATTATCACTATGGTAACAGTAGTTGGAGCTAGTCGCAAA